ACAGCGTAGATGTATCCTTAGAGAAATGCACAAACTCAAGACCGGGAGGTTTTCACAGTTTTATTGAAGCAATGCAGCCATCTTCCTGAGGTGAATGGCATTAGGTCTCAGAGACTGTCTGGAAAACCTGTGTGCACCACATTAACAAAACTAGACACAACCCATTTAAGGTGCCACTCATGCAACCGCTACCCAAGCCAAGAAGTTCTCATAACTTTTGCATACATGTTTGAAAACTTGACCTTGAATACTTTACTTTTCATAAATAGATCACATTTTTGGATTCCAAGAAGAGCCTCAATCTAAACATCTTCCTGAAGCAGTTTAAATGGTAAGACAGTTTTCTTTATTCGCAAAATATCAACATGATCAACCTTTTTGTACCCAAAATCTTGGCTAATCTCACTCTAGGCATATTTTTTCATGATATGTTTATGGGGGACTTCCACGCTATGGGGAAGTGTTTCCTGTCTTAATTCACTCTCTCTGTTGATAGCTATAAACTTACGGAGCAGTGGTTGCATCTATTCATCAGCCTCTTTTCTCTGTAGCTCAAATGAGGAAGTGGTCGACATGATTCAGAAAGGGGATCGAACCAAGTTTGATGTTGAGGTTCTCAAGCAGTTGCTGAAACTCCTACCAGAAAAGCATGAAGTAAGAAAACCAAAGCAGTTCTGATTTTAGTTGCAATGGCTTGATTCAGGCACCATGATAAACTGTCGTTTACCATTATTTAGTATAATTCAAGATTTGTGATCTGTCACTAAAATGAAGTCAACAACTGTTCTCCTTTCTCCTTAGATAGAAAACTTGAAATCCTTCAAAGAAGAAAAGGAAAAATTAGCAAATGCAGATCAGTTCTATCTTCTTCTCCTTGGTGTCCCAAGGTAAGGGAAATCCTTACGGCTTATCGTCATCTGTTCACATTTGTAAGGTTAAGCGTCCATAAATGTGATTATTCACAGATTATTGTATTTGGCACCACCACTGTTACTGCCTTATATGCAACTGAAAAAAATGGTTCTTCCTACATATTTCTAGGTTGGAAGTTAACCATAGAATTGCGCTGGAGGACTTAGAAATGCCTAGAGAAGACATACCTATTATTTATT